AATCCCTTAACCCTAAACCCCTTGAATCCTGCACCCTAAACCGAGGAGCGCGCAGCGTGTTCCCAAGAAATGGCAGCGAGAATCGGGTCCAGGTTAGACCGAGCTGACTCCAGCGCATCGATTGTCGCGGGCAGGATTGGTTTACCTAACCCACACGGTTTATGGTCTATAGAGGTTAGGCCTTCGGGCTTAGGATTTGGGATTTTGGGTNNTAGGGTTTGGGGTGTAGGGTTGGGTGTTTTGGGTCTGGTTTAGACTGGGAAAGAGGCGAATCGATCCCTATGGCAATCCCAACTAAATCCGTTTTCAGAATTGAGGTCTTCCCCTGATACACCCCTATAGTACAGCCCGCAAGGTCCCCGTCTGAATTCGCCTCATTTGACCCCAACTAGTCTTGAACAACCCTACTTTTGCGAGAGCCCAAGGGGATGTACAAGTCGTGTTGGTCGGGAAACCCATGTACTAATCACCACACCCTAACATCGAAACCCCTACCTCCCCATAGCATTGAAATATCTAATATCAGTGGATGGGGTGTGAATTTTGGGTGGATGGGATTGAGAAAGCCTAGACCCTAAAACCCTGAANNNTAAACCTTGAACCCCAATCCCTAAATCCCTATACCGCGCAAGTAAGTCGCGCAGAAGTGGGACCAGAAAGCTTCGCCACTGTCTACCTTCCAGTCAAGGAAGTGTGCGGGCATGATGGGCAACCTGCGTTGCTGTTACTGTAAGGAACATAAGAAAGGTTTAGGGCTTAGGATTTATGATCTAGGGTTTAGGTTTTGCAGGGTTTAGGATCTAGGGTCAGGACTTTGAGGATACCATAATATGGATCCACTGTAAAAAAGAAGGAACTATGGGCTCCCTTTGACAGGGGTTATAGGAGCTATATGGGAATTTCCATCAGTAGGGGTGCCCTAATATAGACCCCAAAAGACGCTAATTCTGACTATGGAAGGTACCCTAGTTTTGGGCGATCCCCATATAAGCCTTATAGAAAGTGTAGAATTCAACTACCATCTTATGGATACGCAGTATAGCGAGCGTCTCCTTATTATGGTTACTTCTCGGGCAACATGCATTTAACCCAAACTCTAAACCCTTGCCCAGTAGCGGGTATTCCACGGTAACTTCCGCCTCCATGGTTCCGAAAAGTCTGTCAATCCCGGGCACGACAAGAGCATCATGACTCAGGAAGATTCCAGCTTCCTTGGTTGTGGGTTTAGGGTTTGATGTCCAGGGTTTTGGGTTTAAGCAATTTGTGTACAGTTCTTCGTACCTACCTTTGTTTTGAGGGGTGTTGCGTACGTGAAACAAAGAAGATTATATTTCTTCTTAAAACGACTATAACCAACATCCGTAGATACCCTTGCTCTACATTGGGGACCGTTGTGTAACAATACCATGCATTTTGTGTGAAGTCATTGGAACTTGCCCCGAGCTTCTACTCTCGAGAGCAACGCTGCGAGGATGACGGCACCGCTTCCCCTGACCTTGGTGGTCCAACACCCGTAAGGCAAGCGGTAATCCCTAAACCCTAAACCA